CCCCCTCCATCCCTCCCTATTCTGTTGCTTGAACTTTATCATCTTCGGTCTTTGCACACACACGGCTATTCACTTATGCACTTTGTTTTTCAGTCTTTTTTATGTTTTTTTTTTTCTTCAGAAAATTGCATTGTAATTTTTATTTATTCATTGATGTAAAATTCTGTACTTTTTAGTAAGGCCGGTATAACTGAAATGTTCTACAAATGGAAAAGATAGCTCTGCCATAGCATTTCAGTCTTTTTTTATTTATGTTTTTTTATAATGTATTAAAATGTACTTGAGTATGTTTGTAGTAATACAAATATACTATAAACATACTTGTATTTCAAGTGCATTTTTAATACATTTAATAGTATGTTTGTTTTGTTTTTCACCAAAGTATGTATGCTGCTGTCCTTTTTTAGTGTACTTTATTCATATTTGTAATGTACACAACAATATATAATACATTAAAGTTTTCTAGATATCAAAGTGTGTACGTGTGTATATACTGAAAAAAGCAGCTTTATAATATACTAGTAGTGTAATGCTAATGCATTTCCAATGAGCTGAAATACAATTGAAATGTACTTGAAGTACATTAAAATGATGCTTCAAATATACTCTTAACTGTAGTTCATGAAGTATTAAAAGGACATTTTAAATGTATTTTAAGAAATACACTTAAATTGCACTAAATATACTTAAAGTGGTTCCAATTTAACACAATTTCAATATATTAAATATATTACAAATAGATTAAAATCCAACTTAAATATATCTTGAAATACACGTAATATACTTAAAGTTGTTTCAAAATAATACATTTAATATGCACTTACTATATTTAAATTATGCTATACTAAGTATGTCTGAAAAAGCACAATTTAAATATATTTCTTTTTCACCTGGGAAGGTACTGTGTTGAACATATGACATTATAAAAGTGATTTATAGTAGTACATTGAACTTGATCTACTGTATGCCAGAATATGGCTGGGCTGACTTCAGGTAAATTGGGACAATTTTGCCATTGAGGTGACTGGAAAATGTGGATCAATTATCCTGAATTAAGCCTAAATTGTTTAAAATTAGACTTATATTGCTTATTATTAAATGCACTCCATTGCAGTAGTATGGCAATGCAGTCTGATGAATAAATAAATCATAAGTGCTGTAACAGATGGTTAAGAAGAACATAAATGTCTAAAATCTTATTTTTTAGAATTTTCCATTTTGTTCACATTTCATAAGATATGCAGTTACACAGATTCTACAGTGACCATTTAAAGGGAAAGTTGACCCAAAAATGAAAACCGTGTCATCATTTACTCATATTGCTCCAAATTGTACTTTTCAAATCTTTTTTTTTTTTTTTGTACATACAATAAAAGTCCATGCAGTCCAGTGTTGTTTTGGAGCCCACTGACTTTCATGGTATGGACAGAAACAGTTCTTCCACAAAACTCTTCCACATTTCTTCTGTTGTCTTCTGCAGAAAATCTTACAAAATGACATGATCTTTGGGTGAACTATTGCTTTAAGAGCTTGCCTACATTTACATGAACCCAGTCTTAAATCTGTCATAGGACCTAAAGACATTTGCTTTCAGATATGTGACCCTGGACCACAAAACCAGTCTTAAGTATCACGAGTATATTTGTAGCAATAGCCAAAAATACATTGTATGGGTCAAAATTATCGATTTTTCTTTTATGCTAAAAATCATTAGTATGTTAAGTAAAGATCATGTTCCATTAATATATTTTGTAAATTTCCTACCGTAAATATATCAAAACGTAATGTTTGATTAGTAATATGCATTGCTAAGGACTTCAAGTAAAGATCATGTTCCATTAATATATTTTGTAAATTTCCTACCCTAAATATACTAAAACTGATTTGTTGATTAGTAATATGCTTTGCTAAGGACTTTGTTTGGACAGCTTCAATGGCAATTTTCTCAGTATTTAGATTTTTGTGCACCCTCAGATTTCAGTTATTCAAATAGTTGTATCTTGGCCAAATATTGTCATATCCTAACAAACAATACATCAATGGAAATCTTATTTATTCAGCTTTCATATGCTGTTTAAATCTAAATTTCGATAAATGGACCCTTATGACTGGTTTTGTGGTCCAGGGACAAATACCGTTGTTGGCCTGCGCTGGCTGTCTTACCAGGTTATCTAGAAATAATATACTTGAGTACAATATTACTTTGCAAATGCATAATTTGGCATGCACTGCAGACAGCCTCTAAAAACATAAGAAAATAACTAAACCTAAAAACAATATGATAACCATCATAAATGATATTATTGAGCACTTACCAGGATTAAGGGCTACTGTTCTGCTCAACTGGCAACTTGTTCTTCATGTACGACAGTGTGTGCATTGGTTTATAGCATTAACTGATGTCCTGAAAAAATGTATGGACCTACTGTATATAAAATCAAAAAAAGTCATTATGAACTTGTAAACACTGAGACCAAGCAAGATATTTGCAATGCACCTTCTTGTAAAAGCAACAGGTACAAGAAATACATACACCTGTATTCAGGTTATAAATATCTGTTATAAATAGTTGGTTCTGAAAGCAGCTGAAATGCTTATTTAGTTTTTTTTTTTCTCACAGTGTCCTTTTAGGTGTTTTCATACCGAATCTACTTTGACTTGGTTGTTGTTTGTCATTAAAGGAGATGGCTTGCTTTTGATCCGATCCGCAGCATCATTTGAACTCTCTGGGAAGAACATCCTCGCAGTACAGAGTGAGATGATAATTTTTTTGTACTCTCGTCTGAAGTTCTGATTCAGCAGTCCGTAGACTATTGCATTAAGGCAACTGTTGAAATAGGCCATAAAATAACTGGATACAAAAAACCACTCCGGGATGAGAGGCGCGACCCGCCCGGGGTCTATAGCAACCACCAGGCCGATGAAATTGAGAGGGGCCCAGCAGACGGCAAAAAGAACGAACACCACAAACATGGTGACGAAGTTCCTTATGTCGTGCGGCGTGAGTTTGGGCCGGAACTCGGGTTTGACGCGTCTCCTCACCTGGATCACCAAGATCCAGATCCGCAGGTAGCAGTACGTCACAATCATGATTGGAAGAATGAAGTGGAAGAAGACGACGGCGATGGTGTACGCCGAGCTTGCCGACTGCGCAAACGTACACGAGTAGACCCTGGGGTCGTACTGCAGGGAGCCAACGTAAAAGTTTGGCACTAGAGCGACCACGGTCAGTATCCAGATGAGAAGGACGTAGCAAAGCGAGTTCTTGTCGCTGTATAGCTTGTCATACTTGAGGCTGTGACAGATATAGCAGTAGCGATTGATTGCAATACCAGTGATGTTAAATATAGATCCAATCACGCTCAATCCCATCAGGAATCCACTGATCTGGCAGTGGACGAATCCCAAATTCCATCCATTATGGACAATGGAGACCAGCACGAGAGGATAAGGATAGACGGCTACTACCAGGTCAGCTACTGCCAGGCTCACCACAAATATGTTCCCTGCAAAACAATGACAGTGGAAGAACGATAAATGCAAATAAAGTAATTATAGCCACATAGCGACACCGTAAAAATGGGAAAACCTTCAAGCAAAACAGCTTATTACAATTTCCAGAATACAATTTATTAGGTTATTGAATCACATTAGGCCAAATACAATACTGTAGCGACTCTTTTAATAGAGGGGAAATAAAGAGGTTTCATATGATTTACCATCTCACACTTTGCTGATGGCTTGTCAGGTTCCTTGAAGCCATCAGATTAGAATTGCATGAAGTTTTGTGTATGACGTTTTCCGAAGGCGCGTTATTTCTCCTGTCCTTTTCAGGATGGATGCCAGTATGCTTTTGCAGCATGACCTTTATTGCATCTAATTAAATCATATCTTTCCTAAGTCTGTCAGCTGCTTTCACTATTAAAAGGATTTGGGTTGCATCTGTTATTGTCACATGATACTTCGCTCTCCAATGAAGACCTTTTAGAACTTTTGGGCCCCATGTTAGAGGAGACACTAAGAAACCAGGCTATAGCAAGTCGTTGTTTTTAAATCTTTATGTTTTTAAATCTTTATGTTTTTTTCCCTTTATGTTATGTATTATGTATTTGTGCTTCATACGTATTTGAAAAAGATTTACACCACTTGAAATGAAAATGATTTATTGACTCAAATAATGTCAAATCTTGTCATCTTTACACAGCTTAATCATTTTATGAAATCAAACATTTTTCAAAGTAGTTTTGGAGTTACTAATTTCAGCTAAACTGAACTAACAGTGGATTTTCCTAAAGCAATCATATAAATGCTTGCTTTAAGAAATATAAATACATTTCTTGTTAAATATTAATATAATGAATTTGGATATTTAAAAAAGAAAATCAGCAGTCTTAGGCTTTTTAGGTAGTTTTTTTTCAGCCATTTATATGATACTTTTGACTTTGTGTCCCACACACACAAAAAAAATAAAATAAATAAATAAACAAAAATAATAAAAAATACATATATTTTAGAACTTGCCAAAAAAAAAAAAGATATGTTATCAACTAATCAGATAACTAAGGTCCTTGAAAGCATAAGATCCCACCCTCCCTGCAAATCACTCTCCAATCGTAGCCCTCGGATCAAGGGATATGATTGGGCAAACATTTTATAGTCCTACGCCTTCCACAGATGATATAAATACATTTAGACCACTTAGTGATTGCCATCAGGATGTGAAGAGACTTTCAACCAGCACAACAAAAACGGTTTTTCAACCGATCACCTACCCTGCCTTTAACTGAACAAGAAGTCATCAGTTCTATTACAAGGACCATTTTAAATGGTCTGGAAGTTTTTCTTTACTCATTCTAATGATTTCTGTCCTCATTCTGTACTCATTTCCTTTTGGCTCACTTAGAAAGAAAAGGTAAAATATTCAGAATGCGAATCAGCCTAACTTTCTCAACATGCAGATCAGATGGGGAACATTGCACTCGTGTACTGGCATTTTTATCTCATATACAGAACATGCTGTGCAAATCTTGCAATCCTGAAGGATTGCAAAAAAATCCATTCATGATTTAGCAAATTTAGCTCAATGTTAAGAGGAATCATAGAAGCAGTAGATTGTTCCAGAACAGTGACTCAGTAAATTATTCCTGTGACATCTCAGCGGCTCCTCTATTTTCAACTGTTGTGTTCCTAAAGTTCCATTTGAACTTAGGACGACTAGCAGAGAGAGGGAAAATATGAACAGAGATCTGGAAAGCCCAGCAGGGGTCCTGTAGCATGGACCACAAATCTCACTGCAGAAGTAATCTGCGGCTATAGACTTCATGCGAGACATCATTATTTTGAGTGCACAGCTGCAACAAGCTTAAGTTTATATTCCCAAGAGTTCTTTATGCTGTTTATATGATTACAACTAGAAGGAGGTTTGTAAGTTTAAAACTTAAGTTCTTAAAGTTTTTTTCTAACTCTGATTAAAGTGTTTGCAAATAGAGTCTAACATACAACACTATTAGCTCTGAATTTTTGTCTGTAAGCACAAATCAAACTACTAGAAGCAGTATAACAAAACTGTCAATGTGATGTCATTAAATATTCATAATAATTTCATGTCTAGTTCTAGCACACATATATTTTTGTTTGTTTGGACAGAGACTACAATGTCCAATATTGAAAATGATCACAATGAAATCATGCTCCTGTCTCTAAAAGGATAAAATGTCAAAAAATATCAACTTTGCACTTCGAATCTGAATGCAGCACTGATCAGTGTGTCCATTCTACAGTAGCATAAGAGGCAAAGTCTCTGAGACTGTAGAGTAAAAGCCCTTACAAGCATGTCACTTCTCCCTAGAGAGTTTGTTTGTGCCAATAATGGCATATATGCTGCGGGGCAAACCTTTGCTTATGATTTTTCCACACCACCACACATACAGTGAGAGAAATTCACGGCCAGATTCACAGGATCCTTTGAGAGCCAGAGGAGTGCAAAGAGAATTTCTCACTCTGTTAAGTCTTCTACATCCAATTGTTTATGTGGCTGCTCTTTTCTTTCTTTCTGCTATGAGCTATATGATTACATCTTGCGAGATTTATTATTTACATTTACTGTCATGCATTTGGCAGAAGCTTTCATCCAAAGCATTTTACATTTGAACAGTTTTAACTTCTAGCATTCCCTGGGAATCAAACCCATGCCCTTGATGTTACGATCACCACGCTGTAGTTTGATCTATAGCAGGGGTGGCGAACGTCGGTCCTGGAGAGCCGCAGCCCTGCAGAGTTTTGCTTCAACCCTAATCAAACACACCTGAACAAGCTAATCAAGGCCTGAAGGGTTACTAGGAAGCTACAGGCAGGTGAGTTTTAATTAGGGTTGGAGCTGAACTCTGCAGGGCTGCGGCTCTCCAGGACCGGAGTTCGCCACCCCTGATCTATAGCATGAAAGCAAAAATGTCAACCATAGAATAATTTCTTGATTTGAAAGTTTTTAATCATGAACATGACCACCATATACTACCTTTCTGAAGTTTAGGGTCAGTAAGATTTTTTTTTTTTTAGAATTTAATATTTTATTCAGCAAAGACACATTAAATTGATTAAAAGTGACTTATGTTTAGTTTGTGTTTCTAAAGACTCTTAGTTTGTATTACATTTCCATTGCTTCTTTTTTTTTACTTCCTGTTTTTGACCTTGGTTAGCGATTAATCTCACCTTTTTCTAATTTAGTTATATGTAGCTGACTAACTTTCCTTTGTCAGTTCTTTTCATACTGTATAGCTTCAGTTTGATGTTGATAGTAAACTGTAACACTGTTGTTTTAGTATTGGATTCCTGTGTTCCTAAGTTTTTGGTTTGCTTTAATAAATTCAGTATGTGATTTAGGTCCACACATCAACTTCTCATCATTCACACCACTGCGCCATGACAGCAAAGACATTTATAATGTTACAATGCTTCCTAACTCAAATAAATCTTTTTTTTTTTTACTTTCTATTCATGCTAAAACATGATGTTAATAACAATGTGTCTTGAGCAGCAAATCAACATATTAGAGCGATTTCTGAAGGATCATGTGACACTGAAGACTGGAGTAATGATGCTGAAAATTCAACTTTGCAATCACAGGAAAAATTTACACTAATATATTCAACTTGAAAACAGTTATATGAAATTGTAATAGTATTTCACTCCTCGTCGCCAATATGTTATATCTTATCTGTTATATAGCATGAATAATACGCTGAGACGAGTGCTGTGTCAACTCACTCCTAATTAATTTTTCTTCATTGATAACATAACATACACACGGGAGTAATCTTGAGCGCCTCCTAGTGCGCTGAAACATTAAGCGCATACATCACAATTTTTACTGTGTTTTTGAACAAGCAATTGTACTCTTGTAGTGCATCTACAAAGCAAGTATTACTGTATCTTAGTCTTTCCACCAAGAAGCAAACAAGTTCATCATTTGATTTAGCATATCACATATCCTATATAACAGATGCAAAGCAAACAAGAGTTAAACTGAATAAACCATTAGCCTGACTCTAATGAGTGATGTCCGTCTGACTGGTGTCTGTGAACGACTGCCTTTAGCTTTGCAGCACAAATTCGGCAAAATAAATTATATTTGAGTCGTGAGCTTTCAGTGTGAGTTGTATGTGATGAGATACAAAAGACTGGTACTGCAAAATAATGTCAAGACAGTAGGTCATTCAACTGAGCTAAAAAAAAAAAAAAAAAAACACTCAAAAAGGACAGTATTTTCTTCAGTATGAAACTGTCTAAGGTTTAAATGAGATTTTATCTCTTTTCACCAAGATAAACATTTTACTGTTGTTTAAGTGCAAACAGACATTTCCTCTGTGCTGGACAGGCCTACAGGAGGTATTTATAGTAGTTTGAGATGGTAATGAAGACTAAATGGTTACACACAACTTGTTCGGGAGGAAATGTGGTAGAGCATGTTCGCTATCAACACAGCGGCTAGATGTCATTAAGATGAAATGAATTTAAGCCCTGTTAGATGCTGCCAGTGGATGCTGTAACTACACCATCTGGATCTAAAAGGCATCTTTCTCCAATGACAGCCATTCAAAAGCAGCCACGCATTCAATATTTCATTATATTGTACTAGGTCTTTTGCCAGAGCCTGCTTTGTTTTTGTTGGGCTCTTAAAAGCGTGAAATTAATTGATATTGTTCCTGTCTGCTGCCTTTGACATCACAGCTAAGGATAGCCACGAGTTCGTGTGGTGACGTCAGTCAATCAGCGTTGTAATGGCGTCATTTTCCTGCAGAGCTAGAGTCATTACTCATTAGTCACATGACATTTGCAGTTCAGGTGATTCAGAATCGTGTAAATGCAAAATAAAAATTTTAACACTTCAGTGATGTCATAAGGTTCTGAGCACAATACTAGGGACTTTGAACGTCTAAAATCTAGATGCCAAGATTTGTTTATTCAGTGAGGAACTGCACGTTAAATTTGATGATTAAAGTAATTAAAT